CTGTGATGTTTGCACAGACAAAATCACCTAAGGATGCAATTCTCAGGACATATCCCTGTCATTAAGCAGCACAAGACTATATACAAATATAGAATCCTTAGGTTGTTCACCTGAAACTAGTATGTCAATTATACCGCAATTAACAAAAAAGAAAAGAGTAAGTTGGCAAACAGTCATTCACATACTTCAACATATATTGACATTCATTCACTATCCAACAAATGTTTATGGAGTACATATTAGGGACCCAGATATTGCTAAGTTAGAAGTTTAATTTCCCAATCATTGTAAGTAAACCTGTGCCTGTGACTGATAGAATTCTAAATAAAGTGTTCTGTGGACAAAAAGAACTAGCCATTTTGCACAGGTCCCAGGAGAAGATGGGGAATCCAACAGGCCAGCAATTTGCATTCTGTTCCCACCACAGCTCCTGAACTTGATTGACTCCCCCATCCAGGCTGGATGGACTTTGATGACATTGACAGGCTGGAGGTGTTCCAGACAGAACAACTGGAATTTGACAGGTTTTCAAGCACTGGAGACAGGTGAGTTTCTTGATATCCAGTGTGGTGACATGTGATATGTCATCCTGCTATTATTTCTAGGTTAGTGCTGGGTCTGGGATTTTCCAGGAGATTTGCACTTGAAAGAGAGCCAATGTATTGACAAACAGGTAATGCTATTGATCAGAGAGAAAAATAGGCCACTGCACGCCTAGTCTAAATCTTGGACAGTAAAGTCTCAGGAATGGGCAGGAAATGATATTCCCAACCTGGCTGCAGAAAGGACACCAACAGTCCTCCCAGGCTTTGACACGTTTCAATAACACTTTCAATTTTGAAGCTTAATGGTTCATCCAGTAAAGAGCTGATTGCAATTGTGCAGTTGATTAATTTCCTTCAAGGAGTGCAAGGTCTATGTGCATGTCCTAGTACCTCCTAGTAGAAGCTAGAAGCATGGGATACCACTTCCATGCTTGAACACTCTCAACCTCAGACTGGACCTCTCCCTTCTGCCCAGACCAGCTTCTCTATTAGAGCAATCTGCCTCTACCTCTCATAGAAGCCCTATCGTTCCAATTCCTCAAGCCAAAAACCTGAATGTCACCTTCAACTCCCTTTCTTCATACCACATACCGAATATTTTTTTAAAAATTCTGATTTTCTAAATATATGCAGAACTTTTCACCACTTAACTCTATGACTACCCCCCCAGTCAAAGTCGCCATCTTGCTTGGATTATTATAATAGACTTCACTGCTTTGCATTTTTCATGGTCTACTCCCCACCTCTACCATTCTATTTACTCACAGTCTTCTTCATGTATTTATCATCACTTGATATTTGCCTGTCTCCACCCATCCAGCACATGGTAAATGCCAATAATTGATGGAGGAATGAATGAAGACACTACTGGGACCGAACTCTCAGCATGTGCTGAATGAGCAGACAATTTAGCTTATTGAGTCCCATGAGTTCTCCTGCAGCATCCATTAATGGAAAACAAAACAAAAATTAGGGAACAAAGCAGCCTATGTGTCTCCATCAATTCATTCTACACCTTCCAGGCATACTAACCTGTTGAGCAGCAGCTGGAGCCCAAGCTTCCAAATGAACAGTTTATAGAGTTCCCACCCCACTCTTCACTGACTGCTCTTGGCATTTGCTGTTCTAACATGTTCTGGATGACAGAGCACCTAGCACCAGTAATCACACACACATAATAGTGTTGGACTATACCATAGGCACTGAGGTAGATCCCGCCTGTGCCATTATGAGTACACTCTTCACATCCCAGCCGGGAACAACTTCACTTCCTGCGAGTGGGTGGGAATGAGTTTAGAGCTTTCAGCGAGTCATTCCGACGGTGATTCCCTCCTTCCTTTCCACTTTCCAGAGCATGTTGGTGCTGGGCTCCAGCATATTGTTGCCATGCCAACCTGAGATGGGTACAAAGGCTACTGTGGCCGAGTTGTAGCCAATCTTCTTGATGTAGGCTCACACATCGTTGGTGATCTCCTGGAAGCTTGCTGCGCTGTAGGCGGGCTCAGAAGAGTCCGTCTTGTTCACTGCCATGATGTAGGCCAGCAGCACATGTTCCTGGGTCTGCCGGTTCTTGGAGATGCTGGCCTGGGCGAGTTCTGCACATTCGGTCTGCACTGCACCTCTGCCACCTCCTTCTCAATTTCTCGATGGTTTTTTGGTTGATATCCCACACTTGCAGATGAGATGCCAGGTGGTGGTGGATTTGCCAGTGACGACAATATCGATATGGGTCTTCTCTTTGCCTATGGTTGTGGGTTCTCTAGTCCCTCCGAAGAACAAGAAACAAGGCTGACAGAGATCAGCAAGAGCTGCAGCAGTTCTGTTGATTCCTTTCTTAATCTCATTACTCACCCCCCTCATGTGGAGGGAATGTTGTCAACTAGATGTTTGCCTTCGTTTTTCAATAGTCTTTATTTTTTAGAGCAATTTTTGGTTCACAGAAAAGTTGAGCAGATAAAGTAAAATTCACATATACCCTTTATGTCCATGCAGAAACAACCTTCCCCACTGTTAGCACCATCTGCACCATAGCCCTGGGGGACAATGTTACCAAGAAGTATAATTGCTGGATTGTATGATAAGATGGTGTTCAGTTTTGCAAGAAACTGCCTAACTGTCCTCCAAAGTGGCGACACCGTTTTGCATTCCTGCCAGCAATGATGAGAGTTCCTGCTGCTCCACATGCTCACCAGCATTTCTTGCTGTCAGTAAGTGAACTTCTTAAGAAAAAGGAATTGAAGAGAGACAGATGAAGGGAATGGGATGAGTCAGCAAGCAGAGAATTCAATTGAGTCAGAAACTGAGAGTCAAGCAGCTGAGATAGAATTTAACTGTCATCCACCTTCATTCCATCGGACACGTCACACTACCAGAAACCCTGACTGAAAGTATGGTACCATTCACATACCACCAGTGCCCAAGCTGGACCTACTGGGTTCCAAGCTGCACAAGTTTGAGCAAGTTTCTTACTTCTGCAAGTGAGTTGATTAGCTGTTAAAATGGGAACGCAATAGCTATTGATTTGTAGCAGTGATTGAATATGAGAAATTATGTTTGCACATTGCATGACCATAGTTAGCAATACAAAAGTATTGCTTCTCTTCTCATTTTCACTATTCTTCTTAGCTTCAGAAGGTTTGCAACCCAAAGTACCACTATGAAGGATGCGTTACAATGGCCTGTTTCCCGATATAATTAGCTCACTCATTTTGATGAATTCATGGTTATTAAAACTGTGTTTCTCCCCCTCTTAGGCCCAGGTAACCACTTATTGCACTGTTTCTATGAATTTGACTACTCTAAAAACCTCATGGGAAGGAATCATACATCGATGGTTTTTGTGACTGACCTATTTCACTTATTGTCCCGACCTCAAGGTTCATCCGTCTTGTAGTATGTGACAGGGTTTCCTTACTTTATAAGGCTCAATCACATTCCACTACATGTATGTACCACAGTCTGTTTATCCGTCATGGTCCCTGGGCACTTGGGGTACTTCCACCTTTTGGCTGTTCTGAATTATACTGCTATGAACATGGATGTGCAAACACGTGCTTGAGACTCTGCTTTCAATTCTTTTGTTCTAAACTCAGAGGTGGATCTGATCAATCACATTGTAATTCTATGTTTAATTTTGAAGTCTCATCAAACTCTTTCCACAGTGGCTGCACCATTTTACATTCCCACTGAAGATGCACAAGTGTTCCTATCTCTCCACATCCTTGCTAAACCTTGTAGTTTTAATTTTAATTTTACGATAGTAGCCATGATACTGAGTGTGAAAAACCCATGTGATCTTGACTTGAGATCTGAAATACAGCAAGAAAGCACCAGGGCAAAAAATCTAGGTGTGTCTCACTTCAGCCATTCATTCTGCCTCCACGGCCCACAGAGTAAAATGGAAACGGCTGCTTTGGCCCCTTCTGTCTCTCCAGTCACAAAGCCCTGCCTTTTCCGCCATGTTCTCCTGTATGTTTCAGAGTAACCTGGGTTCCTATGTTTCCAAGAAGTCAAATGGTTTAAACTATTTTGTCATCCCTCATGGTGTTGCCTCGGATCCCTCCTCCCAACATTTCTTCATATGAAAATTCTGTCTGTTCTGATTGGTTCTCAAGCACGCTGCTCTGTATCCAGACTACTTGCTGAAGCCTCTCCTCAGAACTGTCATGCCACCATCCCCGAATTTTCCATAGAGCATTGTGCTTATGGTTGGGGAGGGGTGGAGGATCAGTCCAGTGGGCGCTTCTACTGCTGGGTCCATGATGACCCCGGTCTGATCCTCCTAATGGACAGCGGAACTGAACTGAACTTCTTTTGATCGAATTAACACTTGATTTAATTGGAAATCTCTCCATATTGTTGGAAACATTAGGTTAGAGAAAGGAGTTAGTTGGGGGAGTTAGTCTTTCTCTTGGCATAGTTTTCTCGGGATACTGAAGGCTGATTTCTTTTACAGTTGTTGTCAAGCTACGCCCCTATGTCCCTCAACTGCCCAAGGTAAACCTGGCACAGCAGGCATTGTTTTACATTAATGATGCACCATAACCAAATTTAGTGGTTTGTTTATTCATATTCATGCATTCATTCTGCAAATATTTGACGATCCTCTTCTCTTTGCCAGTCACGATGCTAAGTACAGATGAGCCAAACCGGACACTGACCTGCAGTTAAGGAGCTAAATTCCAGGGGGACTCCCATCAATTCACTGATTAGAGATTTGTAAGACTACAACCTCGGTCTTTGCTACAAAGGAGAGGTCCCTGGCACCAGCAATGCTTAGCTTTATCCAAGTCACCAGGATATGTGACACAGGTGGATGGCATAAGCCCTCAGTAAGGAAGGGAGGGCTGGATGCCAGGCCTTGTGACCTGACACAACCTATGTCGGCAGGACCAGTGAGGCTCACTAGGTATAAATAGCCCTGGGCTCCCAGGCTCCTGAGTCTAGCTCCTGGTTTCTCATCGTTTGCTAAAGCTGAAAACTCAAAGCAAACAAACCATGAGGCTGGCCTTCCCTGTCCTGCTGGTCACTCTGGCCTTTTGCTGCTACGAGGGTGAGTATCATTTCTAATCAGACCAGCATCAGCCCTGGTAAGTAAACTTCTCTGAACTAGGTGACTTATTTGGGGAAGAGGGTGAACGAATCAGAATCCAAACCTTTTCCACCACTTCCGACCCAGTCCCCCAAAAGCTCAGGGTTCATTTAATCAATTCCCAATACTCTGGAACTTTTATAAAAAAAATCACTGCAGGCACATTTTAAGAGTATTCCATCTGAAGCTCACTTCTTGTCGGTGATCATTGATTCAGAAGCAACAAGACATAATTAAATTTGGATGTGAAACATCATACTGCCACTTAGTAGCGTTGTGACCTTGAACAAAATGCTTAATCTCTCAAGTCTCCTCTTACTGGGTTTCACAGCACCACCAAGAGTAGCTATGACAGTGGAGTAACATTAAGTAGGTCCAGAGGCCAGCTCTAGGCATCAGTATCCAGTTGTTATCCAGTAGTCATCAGATGTTCTCCTGCCCAGGGTCTTTTAGGTGCCAGGTGAGTCCACAGCTGGTTAACTCGTAGCTTCAGACTCACAAAATGTTACAGCTGGAAGGGTTTTAGTTCTCAGTTCAGGGAGACCCAGCGTTCTCCGATTCTGAATAACAAACCTTCAATGGGCTCTGCCAGGAAGCAGCACTCTGCCTACAAGCCCTGTTCGTCGTCCACTGAGAGCAGGAGCGCAATGGGAGCAGAACCCGAGCAATCGCCAGGCCTCCATCGCCATGGCTCTGAACTAATTCTAGCCGTTCATCCAGCAACACTTTTGTGGGTCTCCATGCCCTAGATCCTGACCCAAGTCTTTTGGAGTCTTTCTCTTTCATTTGACTTTCTGAACCTCCTCGTCCTCCCTGTGCTGTCTGATCAGAGTCAGATGGGAGGCTGGTAGGGCACTGCCCAGGCTGCAGGTCCTTGCAAAGACTGAGGAGATGGAGAATCCAGACCAAGAAAAGGGGTTGCTTCAAGTCTCAGTACAATTCCAGTGGGGTCAAAAATAAGTCCGAGTTCCTACCTCCCACTCTGTCTGAGGAATTCTGTGCATCACTGCAGAAAAAACAGCCAATCATAGTTTTGTGTATAAGCTTCAGATGTATTACATTAGAGGCATATTGTTTTAGCTTTTTAGCTATGTCTGCATTCATTGACCTAATGTTATTGTTTAATTTAGTCTCCAAAGAGCATCTTCCAACACTTTACACTTTTACTGACCTCTGTCCATATTTATTCAGCTTTCTCTGAATTCTATAAGATCTGACTGTGCCATTCACTTGAAAGACTGATTACTATAATAAAATCTCCTTTTCCTCAATATCCAAGACAAAAGAAGGTGTCACTCTATTGACAAGTAAACCTTCATTTTTGAAATCTAGGGAAAGTGAATTTTAGCACAACAGGAGAGTCCTGGAAAGCAGTGGGTGTCCTTTACACAGAGAGAAACTGAACTAGGGATCCGTCAAACTGTTTTCCAGTGCTGCCTAGCTCTGAGGCTAGCTCTGTGACTGTGAGGAAGCCATGACTTCCAGGCTTTGCATGTCATTGGCACAATTGTGTGATCAGATCATACAACTCCTGGAATTCCTGTCCAGTTGTAACATCAGAGAGCTATGGGGAAAGGTGCCTTTGCTCATATCAATAGTATTTCTCTTTTGTCTGCTCCAGCCAATGCAGAAGCCTGTCCATCCATTGTTTCCGAATTGAGAAGCTTCTTAATGGGTACTGTATCAGAGTTCAAGGACATTCTTCAGAGCTTTAATCCACCTCCAGAAGTTGTTCAGGCTGAGGTGAAAGTGAAGCAATGCATAGATGGCATCTCCCTCGAGGACAGACTCGAAATACAAAATTTATTGGTAAATTCTTGGTTCTTTCTTCGCAGAGGCTTCTGCTCAGTGCACAGCCAGGAGGGAGGTGGGCATCTGCTCTGTGAGGGCACAGGGGGCAGAGGATCCTGCCCCCTGCTTACATCTGAGAGGGTGACTAGTGGCCACAGGGTTGATGAAAACATGACACCTGCTGAGATGTATTTAGGCTGCACCCAGCGTCTGGGCATGATTCCTTTTCCCAGGTCACCTCCCTCGGCTCCAGGTTCCCCAAGTGTCCTCAGGGGGACGACAACCAGGGGCCCATGCAGCCATGCTGGAGGGCCAGAAATGCTGCCTCCCTGCCCAGGAGCGGTTGGGGGGCGAGCTCCCTCACCCAGTGGCACAATCACTGGGGAATCGCATGGGGAGTGTTGGGAGTGTTGAAGGGGAGACAGTGGGAGTGAGGGAACCAGCCCCTGCATCTGTCCTGATGGATGGTGCACTGGCTGGGGTCTCTGAGCTTCTGCAGAGCCCAGGCCCACTCCCAGTACCTTTGCCCCACTTTTCCACCCCTCACTTCTCACAGCCAGTGGGTAGAAACGCTCCCTGTTATGTCTCCTGCCACCTCATGTGAAGCTGAAACAATTAAATTATGTCTTTCCGAAGAAATTGGACATTTAAAGGTGCCTCTCAGCCCAACTGTTGCTGGAATGAAGTCAGGTTTATGCAAATTTTCATGATATTGGGTCCTCAGAGAAGAAAAGAGCATGTCCCATCACGTTGAATTGCCACACCTCCAGGCTGGAACTCTGAAAGCACAACTTCCCAAGCCCCTCCCACCCTTGTCCCAGTCTCTCAACCTCATGTCCACCTCGGAGTGACAAAGTACGGTCCTGGGACTTGGGGCTCACAGGAAGCAAATCCTGGGCTGCTCTTCACCCCAATCCTCTGTTCATTAGAATCCTGAGTCCTACTCTTGGACCTCGGGGTCCCTGTGCTGGGCTGTGGACGTGGCTCTTTCCTGACCTGCATGGTTTGGTGTAACTGGACCAGGTTCCATTTGCACTGCTGTCCTGCCTGGGGCCCTCCATTTCCCTTGCTGGTTGAAATATTTGTTCCATGTCTTGGGTTTGAGCAACAGGCTGTGTCATGTCCAGGAGCACCAGGACTGACATCCCCGTTTTCTTCTTGTATTTCAGGGTGAAGTAGTGTCGACATGTAAGTCCTAGATTGACAAAAATCTTATGCACGAGGACCTCTGACGTTCCATGGTGACCTGATTTTCCCCGGAAAATGTTAAGGTTTCAACATCTTGCTTCAATAAATCACTCGCCCTGCACTTCTCTGCGTGTCTTGTTATCATCCAATAGTCCCTGGTCTGCAGTTGGGGAGGTTTCATCAGGAAGTGGCCATTGGGTGTTGTCAATAGCAAACTTCAGGGACCCAGTGTCCGGTTACCCATGGTAGCCTGATGTGTAGGGATCATAAGAGGAAATATTTACTCAGGACCATCCTGCATGACTTTATAGATTTCCCAGTCACAGGGCCATGAGTGAAGAGGATGGTTGGGGTAAAAAGCAATCACAGCATTCCTGCTCCTGGGCTTGTACTGAGGGATACCCGCAGCCTAACTGTCTGGCCAGTCACGTCGTTCCCACCAGCAGTGTCATTACTATTCCATCCTCATCGTAACCACAAGCTACGTGCGGTCCTCACCCCTCACTGTAGTTCAATCCTGGGATGGTCCCGTATAACTGGTTTCCTGTCAACTTCTCTATTTGTAGTGAATTCAGAGTTCAACCTCCAGTGAGCTCTTCTAGCTCTGCACATGCACAGTGCTCTTCACTGTCTACACCGCTCAGCAACCCTCAGCTACTGCTTCCTCCCTCATTCTCCCTAAAGCTGAAGAAACAAGTATCAGCTGCCATTTGGACAACGCCACTCAAACAATTCACACTTATTTCAGAGGGAACATATAAAATCCACACAGTGTCTGCCCCCCACTGGCCCCTCATCCATGACCCCCATCCAGGCTAATGGAGATGACTCTAAGCACTTGGGCACATCATAGGCCCCGGATTCGTTTCCAGGGTCTGCTGTAACACACCAGCACACACTTGGAGGCTTACCTTATTTTCTCCAAGTGTGGAGGACAAGAGTCTAAAACCTATAACAGTCTGCCGAGCTCATAGTGTCAGGAGGGCTACTCTGGCTGTGGAAAGTCGAGATGAAGATCTGTTCATGGCTGCTTCCAGCTTGGAAGGCTGGTGACATTCCTTGTCCTGTGTCCACATCATCCACTTTCTGCCCCATGAGGTGACATTGTCTTTTCCTTTCTGTGTGTGCAAATCTCCCTGTGCCTCCTTTGTGTAGAATGTATGAGATGGCATTTGGAGGACACCAGAAGAGAATTCAGGATCATCCCCCTAACTCAGAATCTGTATATCACATCTGCAAAGTCCTTATTTGCCTTGGAGAATAAATGACAAGGACCTGGGTTTAGTATGTGGATGTTTTTTTTGGAGGCTGTTATGAACTTATTGCAACTCATGTCCCTCCTGACATGTAAGAGTCGGCTAAGTCCTGCCCCGTCCACTGCCATAGCTCCACTCGGCTCCTGACCTTTCCACCCACACAGCCATCATC